GTTTCGGCCCTCCAGGACCGGAATTCAAGAACCCTGCCTTAGACCATGCTCAGTTGTTGCTTGGGCGAATCCTAACATGAAATGCATGGGGATGCAATGATGCAAGATATGTTACTCAACTATAGATTTACTAAGCGTTTGCACCTGGGGCAAAAAATATTCTAAAACCATTACATTATCTTGATCTGAACAGCATCATCAGTTAAATCAAATCAAATCAAATTTTATTGGCCACATGCGCCGAATACAACAGGTGCAGACATTACAGTGAAATGCTTACTTACAACAACAAAAAAAGTGTTGAGAAAAAAAGAGCAGAAGTAAAATAAAATAACAGTAGGGAGGCTATATATACAGGGGGGTACCGGTGCAGAGTCAATGTGCGGGGGCACATATATATATATATATATATATATATATATATATATATATATATATATATATATATATATATATATACACAGTATATATTTTTTTTTTTGTATGATTTCAATAGGTTTCCTATGGAACAAGATTGACTGTTCAATTTAAGATTGACTGCTTTATATTCCCATTCAAGTCAACATTATTTGATGTATGGAAGTCCAACCATCTTTCTGGTGCCATTTGAATGTTGAAATGTCTATTTTATTCACATTTCAATACACCCTTCCTGTATTCAAAAGCATGTGTGTCTCAACCGATGGTGGGCAGGCACAAGACAAACACCTCTGACCATGTAAACTAGGGTCTAAGGTACAACAGAAATTAACATGAAAAAATCTGAGTTTACATGTTTTTAGATCATTGACATTAAAGGTAAAAAAATAAAACGACAATTTGTTTTCAAGAAATTATCAAATAGTTTGACATCCCTGTTTACAGTGCTTTCAGAAAGTATTCACACCCCTTGACTCTTTCCACATTGTGTTGTGTTACAGCCTGAATTTAAAATTGATTAAATTGAGATTTTGTGTCACTGGCATACACACAATACCCCATAATGTCAAAGTGGAATGATTTTTTTAGACATTTTTACAAATTAATTAAAGACTAAAAGCTTAAATGTTGAGTAACTAAGTATTAAACCCCTTTGTTATGGCAAGCCTAAATAAGTTCAGGAGTAAAAATGTGTTTAACAAGTCACATAATAAGTCACAAGTCACACACAGGCAACGATGGAGCTTTTAATTACAACAACAGACATAATGCTAACCAACGTTTTATTGACCTTTATCAATGTGCATGTAAAGTTTTTTTACTATAGTGTCTTCCCATATGGTCTAGCGGTTTGGATTCCTGGTTTTCACCAAGGTGTCCCGGGTTGGCAGGTACTTGTCTAACTACAGATCCCACATCTTAACTTGGTGGTCCTCTGTAGCTCAATTGGTAGAGCATGGCGCTTGTAACGCCAGCGTAGTGGGTTCGATCCCCGGACCACCCATACGTAAAAATGTATGCACACATGACTGTAAGTCGCTTTGGATAAAAGCGTCTACTTAATGGCATTTTATTATTATTTATTATTATTATAATAAGTTCCATGAACTCACTCTGTGTGCAATAATAGTATTTAACATGATTTTTGAATGACTACCTCATCTCTGTACCGCACACATACAATTATCTGTAAGGTCCCTCAGTCGAGCAGTGAATTTCAAAAACAGATTCAACCAGAAAGATCAGGGAGGTTTTTCAATGCCTCTCAAAGAAGGGCACCTATTGGTAGATGGGTAAAAATAAAACAATGCAGATATTGAATATCTCTTTGAGCATGGTGAAGTTATTAATTAAATTTTGGATGGTGTATCAATACACCGAGTCACTACAAAGATACAGGCGTCCTTCCTAACTCAGTTGCCGGAGAGGGAGGAAACCGCTCAGGGATTTCACCATGAGGCCAATGGTGACTTTAAAACAGTTACAGAGTTTAATGGCTGTGATAGGAGAAAACTGAGGATGGATCAACAACATTGTAGTTACTCCACAATACTAAACTAAATGACAGAGTGAAAAGAAGGAAGCCTGTACAGAATAAAACTATTCCAAAATATGCATTCTGTTTGCAATAAGGCACTAAAGTAAAACTACAAAAAATGTGGCAAAGAAATGAACTTTATGTCCAGAATACAAAGCGTTATGTTTGGGGAAAATCCAACACAACACATCACTGATTACCACATATTTTTAAGCATGGTGGTGACTGCATCATGTTCTGGGCATACTTTTCATCGGCAAGGACTATGGAGTTTTTTAGGATAAAAATAAACAGAATAGAGCTAAGCACAGGCAAAATTCTAGAGGAAAACCTGGTTCAGTCTGCTTTCCTTTTCAGCAGGACAATAACCTAAAACACAAGGCAAAATATACACTGGCGTTGCTAACCAAGACGACAAGCAAGCATTTCACTGTAACGTGTGCACATGACCAATCAACTTTGATGTTATTTGAGATAGAGGAACATCAGCACAATGAGACTGCTAACAGGCCTACTTCTTCACTAGGGGAAATGGTACAGTACAATCTCAGAGCAAACTGATCAGTTTTCAGACCATAGTGAATGCAGAAATAATATTTTGGGGGTGGAGAGGGGTGGGTAACTAAGAATGTTTACTTGGAGACTGAGGGGAGGAGGAGGAGGAAGAGGAAGGGGGGATGAGTGTCTAAAAACCAAACAGTGGTATTAGCATAACTTGGGGAGGCAGGCAGCAGGCAGCAGCGAGCCAGGCAGCATATGTGACAGTAAGCCCTCAGCCCAGCGTGGGCGTGCCTGTCAGGAAAAGCCGCCGCCGTCGCCTCAGCATCCTAGAGAAATGAAAAAGCCGCCGCGTGCTGCCTGCTGTGTGCGTCCGCCCACTACAAAAATCCCCCTTCCATTTTCAAAGGGCGCAGAAACAGCAACAAAAATGACATTCTCATCTGGCCGCTTTTAAGTTTTTTAGCTTTTTTTGTTGCATTTTCCCTCTTTCCTTGTCTGTCTGTGCCCATCCTTGAGTATGTGGGAGGTGGGAGGTGGAGAGACTTTCCATCTCCAGCAGCTTATATTTCAGTGTTGTGAACCATAGTAGGCTACTTAGGTGCTTTTAGTAACATGGGTGTATTTAAATACACTAGCGTTGCACAAAAACAGCCCGTGGGAAGGAAGACGTTAAATACAATTCCATTTCAATTTAATGTGCCGGTGAGCTGGACGGTTGGTCATTATGACAGGGGTAATTTTTATACAAAATATCTAAAGGATTGTATTATTAAACAGACTTTCCAAACGTGGGTCTATTGTAGACCCACTTCCTCTTTACTTACCTCATGTCAAAATAAAAGTCCTGCACAAGTCCCGCATGAGTTCTATATTTGTTGTCCACATATGGTGCATATGTGGACAAAAAATTTATAACTTGTGGAGGACTTTTATTTTGACATGACATAAACCAAGAGACCCACGTTTGGAAAGTCTGTTTAATAACACAATTTTGTCTCAAATTTCTTATCATAATGACCAACCATCTGGCCCCCTGGCACAGTGAGTTGAAATGCAATTGTATTTAACTTCTGGCTTCCCATGGCCTGTTTTTGTGCAACCCAATACAATCGACATTTTAATTTAAGAAATCTGTTCTCAAGTATTGTCACACATAGAGAGACACGTAATCATATACAAACGTAAGCAAGGTTCGAAATGATTATGTTTTAGTCAAACAGTATATCTGTTTGGCCTTCTTGTGGTGAATTTGCAGTCTACAAATTATTTGTAATTATGTTACGGCCTCCCGACCATTCGCTCAAGAAAAAGATCGGCCCGCGGCTGAATCTAGTTGATGATCCCTGACCTATAGGCTACTCAGCTCTCTTCCAGACCCACCTTGATAGGATTTTATTCCATTTAGGATGTGTTAACACTAACCTGACAAGTGGTCATCAAGTCAACTTTCAATAAGTATTTAAAATATATATATATATATATATTGTAGCGACCCGCACAGACAGCTGTGTGTTATGTGTTAGGCTAGTAGATGGTTGTGTTGTACCTACCAGTACCCAGTGTTCGCGGGGTCCGACATGTCAATCAACCTGCTATCTGCCAATCACGGGAATGCCTGGAATGTTCTGAGGCCGGGCATCCTGGTGGTTGGCGGAGTGGCGTGGAGGGGGGTTGGGCAGGGGGATGGAGCATTGGAAGTTAAGACCAGGTTTAGCCTTTGTTCTCTCTCTTTTTATGTCTGGGCTTCACAAGAGAAGGTCACGATTGGCTTGTGGGTTATCTTTCATTTATTTGGCGTGGGCTACGGCCAAACAGTAGCCTGTGTAAAGTTGGTTTAATAAACCGTCCATTCGTAAACTCAATCCTCTGTCTGGACAGTTGTTCTTTTATGATCTAGTCAGGTCATCACAATATATATATATATATATATATATATGTGTGTGTGTGTGCCTCCTGTTCCCTGCCAAGCCTTTTGTGCATATATCTATCATAGCTAAGCTCTAATTTTCAACAGTAATAGGGCAATAATAAACCTAATCAATCAATGAGTCTCTGATAGAACTCTTCTTTTCATTCATGCAAAACAAAGGGGACTCTATGAAATGAGATCGATCCAACATGGTACTGTGCAGTGTGGTAGCCTATTAACTGCAATTTTACATTATTCTACCCCTTTGTTGTTGGTTCAAAGGATTTATAGGAAGTATTGTTTTAGTGCAACAATTAAACACTTACTGTAAATTCAGGTAGATTCAGGTCCACAGCACAGCCACTGGTGAACGTTGCATCCAAGCCTTGATTGCAATGTATTTCACATCTTCCTTAAGGATCCACGAGGGGGCACCACATGGACACATCCCCAAAGGTACTCGGAAATACTTTTGTTTTGTTATAATCACACACATTTTCGAATGAAGCATCCAACTATCCCAGGCAATGGCGTTATTATTGATAAAATAATAACTTGATTCTTGCTTGCAACACGTATTATTTAGCCAGAAATTGCCTAAACACGCTCATACTTTCAGTTTCAATTCAGATGCTGATCAAGGCTAAAGCAATCAATCACGGAAGCGTGAACTATTTTATTGAAAAACGATATCAAAACGAATGAATACATATTAAAATCACATAAATGTAGATTTTTGTTCGCCAGAGAAAAATGTGATCTGTTTATCAATATCGTTTCTTTTGGTCTAATTCCTAACCACCGAGTTTGAAAGTGGAGTCAACAACAATAGCTTGCTTGCTAACAACAACAACTAGGAATGATGAATCCTTGCTCCGATATAACAATGTTATCAATTTTATCGGTACTAGTAAATGTCTTATGTGTACAAGTTGAAGGAAGCCTTGGCTTTTCAGACGCAGGTGAATGTTGTAGCTAAGTAATGACTGTAACGTTAGCTAGCTAGCCTATCTTGCTAACGACAGTATATATCTTCTTCCTATCCACTATTGTTGTTAGGTAGCTAGCTAGTTGGCTATTTAGCTAACTAGTCTGTTTATTTTGTATAACATCAATATTACTGTGTGAATGGTCTATTAATTAATTCAGAGCAACGCTTGTTAGTAGTAACGTTAGCTAACTAAATAAATTAGCTAAATGAACCATTAACATTAGCTAGCTAGCGTTAGCTAGTCCACGAAGAGCAATACTCTTGTGAATTTACTTAGCTAGTTACTAGCCATTAGTAAACTAACTAGTTAACTAATTTCACATTAAATATAGCTACTATATCTGACTAACAAGCTATTGTTGTATTCTTTCAGACTGCACATATCTGAAAGAAAATCAAAACACCACCCATTTTGGAACAAGATGTTTCTGCTACAGTTCTGGCACAGTGATCAAATGGAAAGACATCTGGTCCACCTTTCAGGTAAGAAAGTTACACCTGTCCTGTAGGTATACCATGGGTGCTGCTTCACAACAGCTCATGATTAATTGTTGATACGAAACACAAGACACTTTTTGTGTGTGTCTATATGCTCCCATACAAACAATAACTTGTTGGTATGAAATTAGGCAAGTTACTGCAATGACCCAATAGTTGTCCTTACTATGTTGTAACAGCAACAAACCAAACTTTGCTCCTAAATTGCATCTATCTGACTCTTCTTCAAGGTGCGTGTGACAGGTGAAGAAGGGGTCTACATCGTGTACCCCATGGAGGGGACCAGGAACTGCTACGAGCCAGACCACGTCCTCACGCTGTCCTGGTGCCTGGTCGACCACTATTGGCCTCCCAGCCCCAGTGTGGCCAGGGAGAAGAGCCTGGACATCCCACTGGAGCAGGAGGATGTGTGCTTCATGGTGAAGACCCCGAGGGCCAACTCTGAGCACTCTCTACATGTCAGGGGCAAACGTGAGATTATTTTATTGTTGTTGTTGTTGGTAATTGCAGTTAACCTACCGGTTTGGTCTGAAGTTCAGAATGATTATTAACAGCCATACTCCTTACTTACAGGGCTAAATAAAATACGATTTGGACTCTTTGCATGTGGCCTCGCCCTCTTCTACTTTGCTGGGGCTTTGTGTAGGTAAGGTTTTACCATTCTCATGCTGGGTGTATGTTAGTTATATTTAGTAGCTTTGTCAATTCTATTGTCCTGGTAAACATGCAGTGTAAGATATTTATTTTTCTACTGCTTTTGGCAACAAAAGCCAATGCAACTGTTTTTATCTCAACATCAAATAATTTCTGGGGAACAATTACCTTACTGTGATTGTTTTCAATTAAAATGGTCAAAAAGAAACAAAAATAGCTTCTTAGCAAAATGCAATTTCTCAAGCAATAATTTTGCTAGGACTGTCTGGGAGTGGTCTGAGAGAGGGGCCTAATTGGAGGAGCCTTATGGGAGGGATGCGCAACCTGAAAACTAGCTGTTATTAGCAGAGAGGAGGGCAAACTCTCTTAGTTATTGGTCTATTAAATTATACCAAAAACCCCACCCAGCCAAACAAGCTGAAATTTCAGGCAGTCTTTTCATTAAAAGTGAGTTATCATAATTTTCACAATTTCAGTATTATTCCAACCTCATAGTGTGGAAATATATATATAATATAGGAAAATCACATTTTTGACTGCACTGCCCCTTTAAAATGTGAATATTTCAGTAACCATCCAGTAGGTCACATATAGTTCTACAACTGAATTGACCCTGTGATTGAGCTATTCTAGGTTGATTAGTGGTATTACAGAAAACAATAATGTATATTTTTCTTTTTTGGCAGGAGTTCTTTGTTTTTTTATTCCTTAGGAATCTCAATGGGAGTCCTCTCCATTGTTGTCTTTCTGCTGTTGATCCTGAAAAACGTTATACCGGTAAGAATCACCTTTAGGCTGTTACTGCTTTAGGCTAATTATAAAAGGAGCCCCACATTTCAATTTGACAAGCTTTGCTAATCAGTACAGTGAATGCACTCAATACTTAATTTTCCTGCATTGTTTACCATAGCCCTTTCTTTACACAAGTACGCAGTGGCTGTACAGTAACATTCTATACATAACGTCAGAGTTCAGGGTCTCCGCTTCACAGCTCTGTATGGGTTTTGACAGAAGTTGCCCCATCCCTCCTGCTAATTTGGCAACGTTTTTGTTGTCTGAGTGAGGCAAATGCTGTAAATTACAAGGACTCAATGTAATTTGAAAGACGTAAAGGATGATAATAAATACCGCTTTGATGTCTTGCAAGCAAGCCCGTGCACTTCACTTTTCCATATCATAAAACTAATGTAATATACAACCTGAAGAAGGCACAGTGATGCTGAAACGTTTGTGGTTTACCCAATAAATTACTGGGAGCTTGTATATAGAGTGTGCGACTCGCCGTTATTCAGCACCTCTACCAACTTTTTTGTGTGTGCACCAGCTCATGCTTTTTATTATGCAAGCAAGCCAAACACCCTTGAGTCCAAATGTGCATGTAACTTTTCCATATCATAAAACTCATGTAACATACTGTATCAACGTTTATGATCACTATGTTTGATGTACAGTTACAAGTAGCCATGGTGTTATACCCTGGGTTGTCCTGAACAGAATGAGCCTATGTATGTTGTATTGTGAAGAACGTTTGCCGTGGACCACGCATCTGGGTCAGGTGGGCATAATTTGAACGCTTTTTATATTGCCAACATGTCTAGCTAAATTATAAAATATGATCTTACAGTGTTAGGCTATCACAAGGCAATTCAGAGAAGCAGATCGTAATTTTGGTGCGCTTAGAATGGAGTCATGAGTGCTTCTCTGAATTGCCTTATAATTTAGCTAGTCATGCTCAAGAGCACATCGACATATTTTTTACCTTGTTGGCTCGGGGATTCGAACTAGCGACATTTCGGTTACTTCCCCAACGCTCTAACCGCTAGGCTTCCTGCCGCCCCCAAGAGAGTCCTGTTGTCATGTGTGACAAGCTCCAAAAGTATTGGGACAGTGACAATACAATTTTTGGGGGGCTCTGTACTTAAATGATAGAATACTATGAGATTAAAGTGCAGACTGGCAGCTTTAATTTGAGCGTATTTTCATCCATATTGGGTGAAGCGTTTACAGCACTTTTTGTACGTAGTCCCCCCATTTTAGGGGACCAAAAGTATTGGGACAAATTCACTTATGTCTATTAAAGTAGTAAAAAGTTGTTTAGTATTTGGTCCCATATTCATAGCACTTAATGATTACATCAAGCTTGTGACTACAAACTTGTTGGATGCATTTGCTGTTTGTTTTGCCCAATACAAATGAATGGTAAATAATGCATTGTGTCATTTTGGAGACACTTTTATTGTAAATAAGAATAGAATATGTTGCTAAACACTTCCACATTAATGACAGTCTGCACTTTAACCTCATAGTCATTGTATTATTTCAAATCCAAAGTGCTGGCGTACAGAGCCAAAACAACAAAAAATGTGTCACTGTCCCAATACTTTTGGAGCTCAGTCTATATCAAAGGCCATTGCACTGCCTAAAGACTTCATCAAAATGATTAATCAGGGTGATTGATCGAAATTCATTTTAGTTTAAAGTGATGGGAGACACCCTTTCCTGGACCGAACAGCCACTTATTCTTAGCTAGGAGCTATACCCTCTACCAGCCCTCTATAACGAAGGGTTAGCCTACCACCCCAGCCCACTCTGATCTAGCCCCCTCAGAACTTGCCCTTTTGGACGTAGCCTCCACCAGGCCTGTAAAACCAGACGGCAAGAGCCCAAACGTGTCACTCTGGCCTGTCCTAAAGAGAGGTGTCTTTAACTACAGAACCCAACATTTGGAGAGAGTTATTCGATAGAGAAAGAGTCTTCTGGGTGGCTCAGCTGAATTAGGCTTACCCTGTTATACTACCTGCCTGTGTCACCTCCAGAGGGGCCTGTTCATCACGCTGTTTGGTGCTGGCTCCGGCCTGTCCTACCTGGGATACCAGAAGTTGTTCAGCCACTGGGAAGAAATCACGACGCTCTACTGGAGACATGCCTTGGGTGAGTTGGTTTAGTTCAAGAGATTGTTGCTTAAAATAAGGTAAGAACTAGGACTTGAGTTGTTCAGTTAGCAGTAGGAAGCATTTAGCCTACATTGAAATTCTGTCTGTGTGAGGCCTTGCACATTTGAACCCAGTATGAACACTGTTTAAATGAAAGCTCCTGATAAATTGTATGTTTTCACTAGACATGATACCGTAATATATTCATGACTAATGAGGATGGGTCAGTGTCCACTCTGAGTCATTCACTCCCAGGAGGCTGTCATAATAAGAGGGCCAAGTGGATGTGGAGTGGTGAAGTAGCCTACAGTTACTGACTGCCTCTTCACACTCCTCAATGCAGTGTATTTGCTGCCAAATCAATTTGCCCTCACTCTATGCACACACTGGGTTGAAAATGGTTGAATCCGCAGGCACGTTAGGATTAAGAGAGCGCGGCAATGCTGCTGGAACATTGATTTCTGTGCTTGGAAACAAAAGGGCTTTGGGGGGATTAGCATTCAAATGTGTTCTTTTCACCCTTACTGGCATGCCTCAAATCCACTGGGTTCCACTGTTCCAATTACACAGGGCTTTCAATTGGAGTATTTCATGTAACGGGTTACGTTTTTGTTTCTGCGTCTTTGCTTATGTTGCTTTCTCTATAAAATATTATAATCGCATTGAACCAATATATCTCCATTTCTCTCTCCCTCTTTCCATCACGTCATAATTTTCTCTTTCCAGGCTACCTGGTGGTAACAGGCCTGATCAGCTGGGCGGTCTGCTACAAGCACGGGCCCATCAGCAGCGAGCGCACCCTGTCCCTACTGACCTGGGGGCTCCAGTGCGTGGCCATGGGCCTCATGTACTACGGGGTGACCTACCCCCAGGCTTCCTACCTATTCCTGGGCATCCTGCTGGTGCTCAAGGCTCTGCCCTACACTTACAGACTGCTGCTGGGGACATGCAGGTACACAGTCAATTTGTAGTTTGACATTAGATATACTACTAAGGTGGATTTGGGTAATGGAGACTAATAATAGAGGCTTTTTAGCAGATGCTTTCGATACAAAGGTGTGTGTTTGATTAGTGGCTGTCCCTCCCTCTCTCCCCCAGGCTAACAGGGCGTCTCCTGGCCTCTCTCCTGGGTGTGTTTAGGTGTAGCAGGAAGCCCAAGGTGCGCCTCCTCTCAGATGAGGAGTACAGGGAGCAGGGGGAGGTACACACCAAGGCCTCCCTTGAGGAGCTCAGGGAGCTCTGCACTACGCCTGGCTTCCCTGCCTGGGAAACGGTCCTTCGACTACGCTCCCCACAACGGTATGGGACAAACTACACTACTCACATCCTAACTACAGTAGGAGGTACCTTATTCACAGTCCTCAGGATCAGCTCCCTGCATTTAAAACATCACAACAGTATGAGACCTCCACACACAAATATTCTGAACTTTCTGCTCTAAAAGCACCCAGCGGATGAGAGCTTGACTGAACAGAGTGCTGGTGAATGACTCAACTCTCTGCTAACTGTTTCTCTTTTCTAGGTTTGCAGCCTTCCTGAAGGGCGGCGGCGGCCACGTGACCCCGGGGGAGCAGCAGAGTCACGGGCAGCAGTACGGCCCGGGAGGAGCCAACTATGAGGACATGCTCTTCCCCGCCGCCTACCACAAGGTGCTGGGGCAGGGCGCCGACGAAGACCTCAGCGAAGATGAGATGGACAGCTCCGCCAGGGCTCCGCCTACACCTAGCCCCCTCCCCCTCTACACCCCGACCACTCCCACCACCATGCCCCGTCCGGACAGCTGCACCCCATGGCAGCCCCCCCCCTACAGCGCCCCTTTCTACCCTCCCTATCCTCCCGCCGCTGCCACCTTCATCCCGCCTTCAGAGCCCCACGTCATCGAGGACGTTGAGGATGAGGACATGGAGCTGTTCTAAGATCAGAGTTTAAACCTCTGTAGTTGACAGGTTGGTTCCTAATATGGCCAGTTAATAACACTAGGGGGCAATACCACTCAGGTTGATCTTTGGGGTCCATGATTGATCAACATCTTCATACAGAATGAATCGACATAAAACACATTAACAGCTAGGTGTATCAATTAAGCTTCATCATATGTCCCCACATAGAATTCCACTAGAGATGTAGTCAGAATGATTGTGAATCATAATTCCACCTAAGAGGAGACGGGGGGGACTTGGTGTGCCTATCCTATCGTGGCTCAGAGATATATGTATATTTTAAGGGGGGGCCTTGAGTTAATCTGACTTTGGGGTTCCCACTCTACACTGCAAATCATCTCAAAGCAGAATTCTCCATCTAGATTCAAAAACTCTGTATCAAAATCGCAGGAATCACCAGGATGACTTTGAACTCATGTTTACAGCTCTCAGGTAAACCGGCAACAATCATGAGTACATTGTTTTTCCCCCCTCCTGTGTGTGGTAAGTGCCTGGGGTTATGAGACCAGCTTCCCTGCTGGCTCACTGTAACGAACTCTCATGTACTCTCTTCTTGGCTGTGGAATCCAGTGAACTACTATCTACCACCCCCACCTGGCTGCTTAGGAAACTGCAGCCTCAGGGACAGCCAGAACAGCCGATCACATGATTTTGATTGGACCATATCTGTCAAAAGCAATGTTTTTCTCCCCCAGTCCAGATTTTTTAAAATTGTAATTTTATATCAAACCACATTTTTAAGTGTTTTTGTATTTGGGGCATATTTTTCATGTTAAATTAAATTACAAGGATGATTCTTTTAAAGGTTTGTTTTAATTAATAAATAAGCCCATCCTTTTCCAGTGACATTGTATTGTGAACTGATGTTTCACCTTGAAGAGATACAAAAAGGCCACAGTGCACTGAGAGAAGTTGCCTGATTTAAGATGCTTAGGCTATGTAGCAGACAATCCATGTCATGTAAAAGGGTCATTACATGTCTGAACAGTTTTAGATGGTGCTGGAGGAAAGCAGTTTGACATATTTGCAATTTCTGTCTAAATAGGACTGTAGTTAAATATTTGATGTTTGTGACATTTTGGCCAGGCATTGGACTACATTTTTCATTTGACAAATATGCATGTGAAAATACATTCACAGAGGGGGATCTCCAGAACTAATGGAGTTATAGTTAAATAGACATTATAGACCCTGAAAGCCTGGTGGATATCAGATCTGACACAATCACTTCATAAACCTTTTTTAAATAAGTATATTTTTCCACGGCATCAGTGGTTGATAGTCAGACTAGACACAGTAAACATTTACATGTAAAAGCAGGGCCACGTTCAGGAGAGCAACTTGTTTCAGATATAGCCTAGTATGTAGAACAAACATGTCTCTCTGACTTAAAAAATAAGGATTCCTGTCAGTTCTAATCATAACATTTCTATCTGCATCATTCCACAACGTTTTCCTATTGAACGTGCCCCTAAACTCTATGTAAGAGAAATCTCTGCCGTCCACATCCCACAAAGCAGCCATTACACACACAGCTATTTAGATTGAGTGTGTCACTTCTGCATGAGTGTGATTCGCCAACCGATGACGAGGCTCAGGCACTTGTGCAGTTTGAGGGTCATTGAGACAAATAGAGCCCTATTCAATCTAACCTAATATCCAGATTTCCAGGACAAGTTTTAAAAAATTGCTTACAATTTTTACATCCATTTGAAAGTGCAACAGTAGCTGCTTCAAGGCAATAGCTTTTCCTCAGATCCCTAAAGGCACTGGTTAAGTCCTCTCTGCTAAGAGGACAAATACAACCTCTCATTTTGGGCTGTATTTTTCTTCCGTCCAGTCTGTAAAAACATACTCTCCACTCTTTTTATAACTTCCGCCAGCCCTTGACTCCATGTGGGTTGGTGGTGTTGCTTGGAAAACATTTTGGGACAGTTCCTCAAAATGTGCAATGTGTCTCCCCTTCCCACCCCCTTACTGTGTGTGGGCAGTGGGGAGGGGTGGTTGGTCAGCAGGCGTAGGGGGATCCTGGTCAGGTAGGGGGGTTCCCCCCTGAGAGGGTCCAGTTTGTGGGGACCTGCTTGGGGGGTCTTGGGATGAGGACTGGGAGGTTTCCTCTGTTGGTTCATCTGTGCTAATCTCATTTATCTCCTACCAAACAGAGCAAAAGTAAAGTGTTGCGTCATAGTTCTTTTTAATACTGTAAGTATAGTACTTGGCACAGATATGCAAAAATACCCTCATAAAATACAGTTCTAAAGGCAGGTATTATATTCTCACCTTTCTTCAAAATGGGACGCATTAAATAAAAAAGACAGTTCTCAGGAGGACATTATACAACATGGAACCTTGGCTGGAACATGCACAAATCCCTAGATAAACCACCTGTGTTCCACATAAACTACCTACTGTTTCATTCTCTGCCCAGTGACATGCGCCTTTGGGCCCAGCCTCAAATCACAGCCTGAACCTATAAGTATATGCCTGAACCGCACGAGCTGCCACCCTGTCTACCTACCTGCAGCGGCTGATGGTTGTTGGCAGGGCTGCTCCTGGCCAGGACAGCCATCTCTCTGATCTGGTGCAGGGCGAAGGCCAGGGTGACCCAGGGCGAGGCAGACACCACCCAGGGGGGCTTGCTCAGGTCCTCCTGCTCCTCCTGGTGCTTGGTCTTCCTTGGTGGTGGCGTTGTGGCGGCGTTATCTGATTGGATAACGTCGATGGTCGCTATGGGAACAGGACTGGAGGGGACGGGAATGTTCTCAGCCAGCATTTTGGTGTCTGGAAAACAACGTAAGCTACATTTTTCATAACGATTACACATGCTTATTCTGCTAAGGTGTCTGGCCTAACAACTACCCCTATTATTAACATCCTAAACATGATTCATGCAGCATTCTAATGTCTATAAATATCTCAGTTGCTGATTGAAAAACTGGATTTAAAGTTAGTGGTAGTACATGTTATGCTTGCCACATTGGGAGCCAGTCACTTCTCCATTAAGGGGCATAATAGGTGCAGCAAATGCTGTTTTTCTGTAAGCCCATGCAGAGGCACGGCCTGAAGCAGACAGGGTAGGATAAGATCAACTTTATTAACACATACTTTTCTCCCCACTCTGCACAGCCAGCCATTGGATGAGAGCGAAGAGGAGGAGGATGACGAGGGATGCCATTCCTATCCCTCTGAAGGTGTGGGCTGCTCCTAAACCATAACCCAAATAGACAAACGTGTTCACAGCACAGTATTTCTTAATTCCAAATCAGCCCCTACTCCTTAGGCCAGGGGTACTCAACTCTTACCCTACGAGGGCCGGAGCCTGCTGGTTTTCTGTTTTACCTGATAATTAATTGCACATATCTGGTGTCCCAATTCCCCTACATTTTTGTTTTTGTTTTTTGTATTTCTATTTTTTATCCAAAGCGACTTACAGTCATGTGTGTATACATTTTTACGTATGGGTGGTCCCGGGGATCGAACCCACTACCCTGGCGTTACAAGCGCCATGCTCTACCAATTGAGCTACAGAGGACCACATCAGTCCCTGATTAGAGGGGAACAATGAAAAAATGCAGTGGAACTGGCTTCGAGGTCCAGAGTTGAGTTTGAGGGCCCTAGGCATTGGAAACAAAATCTTCAAATACATTTATGTATTTCACTCATTGCTTTTCATATAACACAGAAACTGAAAATCAATGTCCATTTCAGCACTTTAAGGGATATATTTTACCCCAAAAAAAACATGTTTCAGGGCACAGAAAGAGACACACAGAGTTGTTATTCTGGGAGTGCAGCCAAATGCGTTCCAGACCATAGAATTCCTATCCTAATGATTTAAGATGGGGCTGGTGGTAGTTTATTAAGAGTTAAGACCTGGATTATTTTATGAAAACCATGGAGGACAGGGCATCCTTATAAAGAGGGGAGGCGTTGTAAAACATTTTGAAAGGCATGTGGGACCACTGTGACTGTGAATACAATTAGCTGGTCATGTAGGAGTCACTGTTAAAGGTACAATCTGGAATCTGCAATAATTACTACTGTTCTCAATGGTCGTTTCAATTAATGAACATTTAACAACAAAATGACCATTGAACAGCAGTTTATATTGCAAATTGTACCTTTAACAAGTGACACCAATATCTCTCGTTGGTTGAACTGGGGACACGCAATTCAATTCAATATAACTTCAATACAATCCAGCTGGGGGTTTTTCATCACAGTGGCTCTTACCAAAGAAGTTGACTAACACTCCCCCCACCATGGCCCCACAGCCCCGGCCCAGCCCCAGGTGCAGGCCCTGGAGGATACCCTGGGCAGAGGTCCTCAGCTCTGGAGGCACAGCAGCACTCAGGTAGGAGATACACGCTGCCCACACTAAGGCATGGCTCACACCTAGATACACAGAGATACAGAGAGAGTGAGTGAAAGAGAGACACACACACTCAGGCACATCCACAAATACACATACATCATTACACTAGGTCGGGGCAGGGAGTAATACAATTAGGCCGAGTTATTGGCTTGTTAATTTAATATAATTAAACCTCCCTACTAGGGAAGAGATATACAGTAGTAGGTAATGAAAATAAACATCAGTAGAACAAACAAACATTTAAATGAAGTCCTTTTCACATTTAACATATAAGCAGAAACAAACAAACAGGCCAGGTAAACTGTAATTTGTTTTCATTAAAAGTTGTACACAACACTATACTTTTTGGGAGGGAAAATAAATACATTTTGGGAGCCATTTTCTAATTGATCTCAAAGGGAGGACATGTCCTGTGTGTGTTCGTGGCAGGTGACAGGCGAGAGAGAGAGTGGACTTAACCCTAGTCATTAACACTCGCTTGGGTGTGTCATGTTTGAACTGGCTCAACTAGCCAGTTTACATCCAACACGCCTAATTTTCTCATTGTGTAGCTACCAATAATAAAACAAAGCCATCAAACCTGCTACCATACCCTCCTTAGGCCCGTCTGGCTTGCCTCGCCCCCTATACAGCTCTTTAGCTAGCCCATATCGTCACTAACCTCCCAAACCAGAGCTACGGCCATCACTTGTTTGTCTTGTCATACCACTTCCTTTAGAATTGTGGAGATTTTGAAATTAGATTTTGTGTGTCTCTAAACATTGTTATTTGGTGTTGTTATGTTTCTAGTGAATGACTACAATCATAAGCGTCCTTCAATGTTACTTATTCGTGTATAGCTGCAACGTTGTAATTCATGGCTTAAATGTGGCTTTCAGGGTAGTCTAGATACGGAGGAAAGGGGCGTTTTCCAGGCGAAGGACAAGCTTTTCTTGTCATTGAGGGGAGAGTTCCTTTCCTGAAATGAACTCTGAGAGCCAACATGGCAACAATGTAAGTGCACTGTGGGCAGCCAGTCCAAACACTACTTCCTCCTCCTTTCTATCTAATGTCAACACTTATGCTAAGCTAAGTCAACAGATGCCGCCATGCGTGGCCGTGCCATGAGGCCCATGACACCCGGTGTAGCCTCACCTTGAAGGACCTCCATGGGCAGGACGACCCAGGCGTTCTCCAGGTAGGAGATGTAGAGGTAGCGGGCCGTGTTGCAGGCCAGCCCGATGTACAGCACCCTGGGGAGGAAGAGAAGGTCAGGTAACACTTTATTTCAATAGTCCACTACAGATGGTTTATAGATGTTGAACTTTCACTACTTTGTTTAACTAACCCTATAGCAAGTTATTATACACTGCTCAAAGAATTTAAGGGAACACTAAAATAACACATCCTAGATCTGAATGAATGAAATAATCTTATTAAATACTTTTTTCTTTACATAGTTGAATGTGCTGACAACAAAACCACACAAAAATGATCAATGGAAATCAAATGTATCAACCCATGGAGGTCTGGATTTGGAGTCACCCTCAAAATTAAAGTGGAAAACCACACTACAGGCTGATCCAACTTTGATATAATTTCCTTAAAACAAGTCAAAATGAGGCTCAGTAGTGTGTGTGGCCTCCACGTGCCTGTATGACCTCCCTACAACGCCTGGGCATGCTCCTGATGAGGTGGCGGATGGTCTCCTCCCAGACCTGGACTAAAGCATCCGCCAACTCCTGGACAGTCTGTGGTGCAACGTGGCGTTGGTGGATGGAGCGAGACATGATGTCCCAGATGTGCTAAATTGGATTCAGGTCTGGGGAACGGGCGGGCCAGTCCATAGCATCAATGCCTTCCTCTTGCAGGAACTGCTGACACACTCCAGCTACATGAGGTCTAGCATTGTCTTGCATTAGGAGGAAACCAGGGCCAACCACACCAGCATATGGTCTCACAAGGGGTCTGAGGATCTCATTTCGGTACCTAATGGCAGTCAGGCTACCTCTGGCGAGCACATGGAAGGCTGTGCGGCCCCCCAAAGAAATGCCACCCCACACCATGACTGACCCACCGCCAAACCGGTCATGCTGGAGGATGTTGCAGGCAGCAGAACGTTCTCCACGGCGTCTCCAGACTCTGTCACGTCTGTCACGTGCTCAGTGTGAACCTGCTTTCATCTGTGAAGAGCACAGGGCGCCAGTGGCGAATTTGCCAATCTTGGTGTTCTCTGGCAAATGCCAAACGTCCTGCACGGTGTTGGGCTGTAAGCACAACCCCCACCTGTGGACGTCGGGCCCTCATACCACCCTCATGGAGTCTGTTTCTGACCGTTTGAGGAGACACATGCACATTTGTGGCCTGCTGGAGGTCATTTTGCAGGGCTCTGGCAGTGCTCCACCTGCTTCTCCTTGCACAAAGGCGGAGGTAGCAGTCCTGCTGCTGGGTTGTTGCCCTCCTACGGCCTCCTCCACGTCTCCTGATGTACTGGCCTGTCTCCTGGTAGCGCCTCCATGCTCTGGACACTACGCTGACAGACACAGCAAACCTTCTTGCCACAGCTCGCATTGATGTGCCATCCTGGATGAGCTGCACTACCTGAGCCACTTGTGTGGGTTGTAGACTCCGTCTCATGCTACCACTAGAGTGAAAGCACCGCCAGCATTCAAAAGTGACCAAAACATCAGCCAGGAAGCATAGGAACTGAGAAGTGGTCTGTGGTCACCACCTGCAAAACCAGTCCTTTATTGGGGGTGTCTATTCCATTTGCACAACAGCATGTGAAATTTATTGTCAATCAGTGTTGCTTCCTAAGTGGACAGTTTGATTTCACAGAAGTGTGATTGACTTGGAGTTACATTGTGTTGTTTAAGTGTTCCCTTAATTTTTTTGAGCAGTGTATATCAATGGAGTTGCAGGTGAAAGTAAGGCCAAAGCTCATAGGTCAAACCCGAACTGTCCCTGAACAGACTTCTATATCCTTCATTCCCACACTTTGTATTTTATTTAACCAGGCAAGTCAGTTAAGAACAAAATCTTATTTACAATGACGGTAGGCCAAACTTGATGCTGGGCCAATTGTGCGCCGCCCTATGGTACTTTTGTATACTCAGTGTTTGTGGGCATGAACACATTACAACTACAAAAACAATGCAAATATACTGACACATTTAAGAAACACTTTTTTACATACTGTATGCATATTTTACATATATTGACCTTGGACATACAATGCTATAGGTACTGTTTTAGGCTTTAGGGTAATTTTTCTCTCATGAGCTATTTTCAGAGCTGGGTGTGTGTGGCTCTTTAAGCCTGTGTCATACAGTGAGTCATTCTAAACCTGGGGCAGGCTGTGTCTGACAACACTAGGACCAGTCACAAGGACCAGATAACTGCTGCACAGAGACTAGAGCTGGACAGGACAGGACACACTCATGCACACACTCATAAGCACACAGCAGTCATTTAACTGGTCATTGTGTTACCATACAGACACAGACAGCAACGACTATTTCAGTATTTGTCTCCACATAGTCTTAGGCCCCATGCAAATCTTAGTCAGCAATTTGAATAACAGCCTAGTATGATTTTTTTAAAATGTGTGCACTCACTAACTGTAAGTCGCTCTGGATAAGAGCGTCTGCTAAATGACTAAAATGTAAATGTAATATGAAATATGCACAGGCATTTAGTTCAGGAGATCAATGGAGAGCCTTGAGAGAGCCTCATGCTGAAGTAATGGACAGGATTGGGTTACACGCATACATGTCCCCAGTGGAACAAAAGGCTTCCACAGGCCCTGCCAGCAGCCCAGGCAGAAACCAGGCCATCAAACAAAGATCTGACAAGAGTCCAGAAACACACACCACACCACACACACAGTGGAACTCTGTGGGAGAACAGAAGCTTTCTCTCACTCCTCCATGGATTCAGCACAGCATTGTTCATTCATTCTCTACAATGCTGATGGCATTGTAAAAAGTATAAATATTGGTGTAAATGTTAATTGTTTTTACACATGTACCTGTATTTGTACTGCATATAGTGCTTTTTACAAACTAATCCATAGTTAGTTTATCCATAGTTTGTTGATAATATGAATGCAATGGTCAGAGACTTTCCCACTGTCTAGGAAACTGCTCTGGCTGCACTTAAAACAACCATATTTGAACAACATAAGTGGCTTTGTACTGGGAGACCAGCCCTTGGCTAACCCTTGTTATTACAAATGATTCATCCTGTTCAGAGAGAGGCGTGGGTGATTTGGCAAATGTCACCTGCCTGAGAAATATCACAGGGCAGACGTTAGACGGAAGAACTGACAAAAAAATCATCTCTTGAGCACTCAGGATGGGTCTTCCTGTTTGCCTATGTTTCTTTCCTTTCCCAAAACACTGCATTTAAAGCTTTTGAATTGGAAAAAAACTGCTTGTCCGTTCTGCAAACTGTGTGCCAATTCGGGCAATGCCCACTTAGTCAACATCTGGGTGGCACCACATTCTGCCTTTCCCTCCTCTCCCTTTCTTTTGCTCTCTGAGAGAGAGAGAGAGAGAGAGAGAGAGAGAGAAGAGAGAGAGAGAGAGAGAGAGAGAGAGAAGAAGACAGAGAAGAGAGAGAGAGAGATGATAGTAGAGCTAGGATAGATCGCGATGAGACTATAGCGAGAGCTAGATATCAGACGAACTCCTCATCCGCTCTCTTGCGCTCGCTAGCTCTCCTCTCCTCTCCTCTCGCCCTCCTTCAGCTCTCTCCGCTCGCTCGCTCTCTTATTCTCGGCTTCTTCCTCTCTCTCTCTCCCCTCTCTCGCTCGCTCTCTCTCCTCTCCTTCATATATGGATCTCTAGAGAGTAATCAGAGAGAGCGAGAGATGATCTCTCCCAATGTCTATTCATTTTCCCGATATGATTTGTTGGAGGGTCTGTTATAAGCCTATGTGGCACACCTACATCTTCCATTAGCAGGTTACTGCATCACCCCTGAACCTCCCTTACACTCCCCTCACTCATTTCGTCACTCTAGCACTCAGCTTAAACTGGTCAAGTTCACACAGGGACAGGGCAGGAAATTAACATAGACTGTTGATTCACTGAAGGTGAGATGAATTTCAAAATACTTGAGGTTGTTTATGTTCACTGACAAAAAGGGAACAAGTGAAAAGTCTGAACAAATGATCCTTTCTGATAAGTCTAAATCCAAACAAATCTCCAAGAATGGTGAGCTATTAAGTGGAATTCAATCAAACTGAAAGACAGAAAATAATATTGTGACTTTGCATACACCTATACCAGAATAAGCTTATTTTGGCCTTGCTTTTGTAGCCTGGTTCCAGATCAGTTTGTGCTGTCTAGCCAACTCCTAGGGTTATTGTCACGCAGGAGTTGACAAGACGTACAGAAACACAAACAGATCTGGGACCAGGCTATTGCTTTTGACCCATGCCCCCTTGATATACCTTATATGGCCGATGAGCTCGATGAGCTTGTGGCTGGTGAAGTAGGCTACCAGCTCTGAGATGTGGCTAAGCACCGAGCAGACTCCAAAAAGTGTGGTGGTCCCCTTCAGGTCCTCCAGGTGCCAGTAGAGGAAAGTGAACACGAAGCCGTAGCCGAATCCCATGAACCAGGCCACAAAGAGCACCGAGCCGTATTGCACACCGCACAGCAGCCGAAGGAGATCCCTGTAAAGGAACCGCTGGCTGACAGAACTTTGAGATTCTAACGATTCCACCGTATGCCCTTCGGGAGATGAAACTCCACTGGACGTTTGAGGAGACTCCACCTCCTGTCTCTTATCCTCCTCCACCTGGACCTCCATTGGCCGATGGTCACTAGTACTACTCTCAAAGTAGAACTGTGTGGACACTATAAAAGCAACGGCCATCAGGACTCCAAAGACAATAAAGGCTATCTGGTAGTTCTTGTAGTCGGGCACGATGCAGCCGGTGCCCTGGATGAAGAGCTTGATGTGTGTGTGGTCGATCCAGATGCCCACACACAGCATTGACAGGCCCCAGCCCAGGGAGCCCCACATCCTCTGCAGACCATAGCGGTCCCGGTGGGGGCCCAGGTACTGCAGGGTGCGCGTGTCCACGATGGTCATGGCCGGAGCACTGAAGAACTCACCGATGATGATGACCAGCAGGATCAGGAGAAAGATGGTCTCCACCTGGTCGTGGTTGGAGATGATGTCATAGACTTTGGTAGTGGCAGTTGTGGTGGTTGGTTTGGTCGTGGTTAGATTTGAGGCAGGTTTTGAGCTGGCTGTTGTTGTTGCTGCTGTTTTTGTTGTTGTTGTTTTTGTTTTGGTGGTGGTGGTGGAGGGGAAAGAGGTCGACATTGTTGTGGAGGTGGTGGAGGAAGGCACAGGTCCCGTGACATTACCACCATCGCTCCTCACATACCTGTGCAGGGGACCGCTAACTGAGCCTGATGCCAAAGGGAGGGGGAAAAAGTATCCAATCTCACCCCTGCGGTTCCTGCTGTGATTGGCCGACTGACCGAGGTGGGCGGAGCTGGTGGGGGACACGACTGTAGGTTTCCTCTCCACGCAGGTCATGGAGGCAGGCTTGATGAAGCCGATGCCGCTGTTGAACACCAACCAGCAGAAGACGGAGAACAGCAGCACCACCTTGCCCTTCTTGAAGCGGTCCGCCACAACCCCCCAAAAGGGGGCGCTGCAGAATTCTATGAAGTACCGTATCCCGACCAGCAGGCCGCTCTGGCTGGGCGTCATGCCCAGTTGCTTGTAGTAGACGGGCAGCAACGGGTGCAGGGACCCATAGGCCGCATAGAAGAAGAAGTAGAAGACCTTGGAGATGAGTAAGTGGTTGTCGATCTGCACGCAGTTCTTCTCCAGGCAGTCATTGCTGGGATTGGCAGGTGTGTCTGTGGGGGGTGATGCTGGACCTTGGGAGGCAGCGGTGGGGCCCGCACCTGCTGCTATCTGATCCAAGGTTTTGGACAGGGTGCTGAAGGGTTCTGCCATGACGTACTTCCTCTTCTGATCCTCCTCATCATCTGTCAAGATGGCCACCCGGTCGTCACTCGCCATCTCCCTGTGGAGGGGGGGGGGGGAGAGCGAGAGAATGTCCATGAAAAATGCAATCACGAGCTGTAGAATTACAATCTTGACGTGACTTTTTAGGCAAGTTTTTGCATTGTGTGCTGTTTTGTTGCCAGAAGATGTAAGTGTTAATATTTTGATGATTGACACATAGTTTTTCACCCCACCAGAATTAAAGGCACATTGTGTAATAAAAATGTCTGACCCAGACAATTTGGGCAAGCTGGGGGGAGATGGGCTGGGATGTCCATAAGATTGCAATGATAGTTTTAAACACATTTTGAAGCTGTATCTTTTTTTGTTAGCAAAGACTCAAATGACAACAAAAACAAACAATGCATTAATAAATTTTTTGGGTTATGAAAGGGTAAGACAATAAACTGTAATAAGCTGATAAGGCATTTATTCGGAATGTCTGTCACCTTACCTACATTCAGCACAACTGAACAGGACATTTGATTCAATAAATATTTTCAAACGCATTGTGATGTTGTTACTCTCTGAGTGAAAAATATGTGGGAGGGGCCTCATTATCATATTTCCCAGCATGCTTTGTTGCAGGTTGATATTTACAATCATTTAAAAAAATATATATATATATAAGTTTCCTCATGCACATTGATTGATCTTATACTATACAAAGATAAATAACAAATATTTTTCCAAACTAATCCAATCTGTAAGGGGTTGGATTTATTGCACCTATTACTGAGATAGTTGTGTAATCACCATAGCAGTTATTCTGATCGCAGGTTGTGGGTGCTAAAATATTACAGAAATGAATGCAACAACCACGTTCTGTCACTAACAAACACAGTCATGGGTCGGTATCTCTCACATTCACTCAGAAGGCATGCTGGGAAATATGCAAATACAGCTTTACAACAGCAACCCCAGTGTCTAGTGTTTAAATCCTAAATGCCTTGTGCTGAATAAACATGTACTGGTGTTTACTTGTGTTAAAATCGAAACACTGTGACTCATTTTCATTGAAATTCTAAATGCCTTCACATGTTTAAAAAGTGTTACAGAAAAGTGTTAAATTATGTGTTCAGATCCTAAACACTTGGTTTTACAGTGATGGAGTATGATGTTCAAGCTCTTATATTTTGTTAGGTCTAGGCTATATGAAAGGCTCGGAAAATATAATAGCCAATTAAGCTACTGCCTCTACAGCAGGAGACATGACTTCACTATTCCCTGTAGCCTAAAGAATTGTATATAAATGGTAGCCTATAACTGTGCTCAGACCAGACAGACATTGCTCGAGAGAAATATATTCGGGCATGACTAGAGAATAATAAACTGTTTTATCGCCGCAGCTCTGACAAAACCTATCCTGTGCTTAGAAACGTTTCTTCTTGTAACCATACATTAAATTATTCTTTCTATATTCAATGTAGTCACTTAAAATGGTAAAGAAACACCGAGGGGACTTATCTAAGCTTGTTATTCCTGTGAACACAAACAAATATATTATTATCAAGAAAAAAAACAAATAGAAAAATATATTTTCTTACCAAAATTATTGTTTCAATGTTTCAAGGTTTCCGTGCGTCGGTTGTTGGAGGATAGACAGCTTGAATACAATGTAGCCTATCTTCTTGAGCCCATCATTTAGCTGTCCAATTGGCGACGACTGTCATAGGGTGAATAAACTGTCGTTTAAAGTCACACCAACAACAACAAAACTGTTCAATAGTTATCCCAATTATATGGGGCAAGTCATATTGAACGCATCTATTTCGGAGAAGTTTGCATTGACGTCATTTCTCACCTGCCCACAACTGCCAGACCATTTCGGAGTTCCAGACACTGCTGCTGGGGGAGGGCTTGCGTACGCACAGCCTAAAATGAGTCTGGCTGCCGGGCAAATCTAAAAACTAAAAAACAGGATGAATGAAAGGAATATGGTGCTAAGCAAATGGGGAGTTGCTTTTACATCTCAATTTATTATATAAGTGCAGATAAAAGAAAGGAGTAGAAGAAGCCAATTTGGAGTGTTGAGATGAGCCCTATTCCCCGCATAGAAAAACTGCCTTCGTGCCTGTCCAGCAAGGGTAACGTGGGGTTACTAGCCCAACTAGTTGGTGGCGGCAATACAACTTTTGGATGTAGTCTGCCATAAAACCCACTGAAGAAGAAGAAGAAGACAGAGTATGATGTTCACTATGAATTAGCCTTTTCCAAATCATGTCCAAATGATGTTCACATGTTTTTTTTTACCCATCTACCAATTGGTGCCCTACTTTGCGAGGCATTGGAAAACTTCCCTGGTCTTTGTGGTTGAATTTGTGTTTGAAATTCAGTGCTCGACTGAGGGACCTTACAGATAATCGAATGTGTGAGGTACAGAGATGAGGTAGTCATTAAAAAAAATCACGTGAGTCCATGCAAGTTATTATGTGACTTTTTAAGCAAATGTTGACTTGTGAATTTATTTAGGCTTCCCATAGCAAAGGGGTTGAATACTTATTGACTCAAGACATTTCGGCTTTTAATTTTGTATTAATTTGTAAGCATTATTGGGTATTGTGTGTAGGCCAGAGACAAAACAATCTCAATTTAACCCATAAGTGTCTAAGCCCTGTCTAAGCTGGGGAGGGGTTCTACTAAGCTATATGGAATTGTTTTAAGAAGGTCATACTATTTAGCTATTTTATTTTGAATTTTAAGATCCCTTGAAGTATCAATAAAAAAAGGAAAAATTATTTGATGAGAAATTATTTTTGGCCTTACTGCTATTAGCCCATACAAACACATTGAATAACAGATTCACTACATAGAACACCCCCCAAAAAATCAAAAAGGAAGTTTGTTCTGAAGTGTCTGTCCTATATCTGAGACATATAAGAAAAATCAGGATTAAAAAAAAATCATTTTTACATGTATTTAACCCCTTATTTTTGGCACTAAACAGTCTCCATAAATACTTCCATTCATTTTTTCAACTGGTACGGTAACCTTCAGACGAGTCTTGTGAGGCCTGTGGGCGTCCTAAAGCAGTCTCACCTTTCCACAGAGGGGTCATAATAGTTTGTAGGCCAAACCGTTCAGACTCTACAGACGATTTTGTGAGAAGACTGATTTTCCGGATGTCTCATGGTCTGACAAACTATCAGCTCTAGCTCTGTCACCTTTCACCGCAGATGCAGAAGTGCGACATAGGCGGATGCGGTGGATTGAGATGCATCCAATGCAAAAAAACAGATATCTCTAGCTTAAACTCCCTACACCCAAACGAGGGCATTGCGTTCTTCCACCTCTGGCCTGCTGGTCCCCCTACCTCTGCGGAAGCACAGTTCCCGCTCAGCCCAGTCAAAACTGTTCGCTGCTCTGGCACCCCAATGGTGGAACAAGCTCTCTCACGACACCAGGACAGCAGAGTCACTGACCACCTTCCGGAGACACTTGAAACCCTACCTCTTTAAGGAATACCTGGGATAGTATAAAATACATTGGAGTGTAGTTTAGCCCAGTGTAATTCAAGTGACAAAATACTCAGAAGTAATTAAAATACGTATTTCAAATACATGAAACAGAAATAACACCCATCTGTATATTCTATTCTGTTCTGTTCTTTTATTGATAAGCGTTTCCAATGACATCATTGGCGTGCGTCATGTAATTTTAATCAATTATGAGTAGAAATTGCCTAGTAATTGCCCACTAATTGTCTACTAATTGTAGCTCAGTTGGTAGAGCATGGCGCTCGCAATGCCAGGGTTGTGGGTTCAATTCCCATGGGGGGCCAGTATGAAAAATGTATGCACTCACTAACTGTAAGTTGCTCTGGATAAGAGTGTCTGCTGAAATGTAGTGTCATTAGACCAACATCTTTTTGACTACAAACATAGAAATGCGCTATGTTGACGTTGGGGTGGTTCTGGAAATGATGAAAATGAAGTTGAAAAATGTAGAAATGTCCCTTTAACCATCAATTGGGTTTTCATGCTGGGTTGACCAAGCATTTGGTAATTTTTTTTATGTAATCCTTAGGTTTAATAGGGGTGTGGCTTTTAGATCGTTATTTTTGGCCACCTGGGAGATTAAATGTCATTCCTGCTGATCATGTTAAGTTTTTACACTGCAATGTTAAATTGTCGTATAACATTATTGCACATTACATATTCTAGTACAGAAATATTAACATTATTATTTACATATTGTAACAAAATGGTTCTGGGACTTACATAGGCTTTTAAGAAATTCATGCACTTCTGTAAGCTTAATTAAAACTACAAAAGTATCAATGTTCAACCATAACATGTGATAACAATTCAACAAAACAGATTAACTGGAATGATATTTACTGTCACAGGTGGCCAAAAATTATTTCCCTAAAGCCACGCCTCCAGTCTTCTGATCTAACCTGCCGGGTCATATCTCAATAACCCAGCATTAACAAACATTTACATTCACATCATTTAGCAGACGCTCTTATCCAGAGCGACTTACAGTAGTGAGTGCATACATTTTCATTCATTCTGGTCCCCCGTGGGAATCGAACCCACAACCCTAGCATTGAAAGTGCCATGCTCTACCAACTGAGCCACACGGGACCATGTGGTTCAAACCAACCTTGCTCTTTAAAAAAATGCCTGCAACACAGCAGTTGGGTCATCAAAAAAAGGTCTTATGAAATACATTTTTTAAATAATAATTTTAAAGGTAATGAACAGTCAAAATCATGATTTTCATGAAATGTGGTTATATTTTAAGGAAACCAAATCAAAGTTTGATGACCAAATATGAAAAATGACTTGCTTTTACGTTGATAAAGTTTGATCATAAAGTTACTGGTCCCTTCCCCCATGTCAAACACTTGGATTCATTATCAAGGGGACAAGGTGACGTGACCTTAACTCTAATTTGAATACACCAATGGTAACATGATATTCCCTTACCTAATTTAAATCAGTACCGCTATGTAACATATCGGAGAAGGCGTGATTGGACAAAATGGGGGGAAGGGTCGTTCAAAACTCTGACGAAGTTGTCAAGTCAACACATCCGTCAATGCTGCTGTG